ATTTTTATTGCCTTTAGCGCAAAAAAGATAGAGTTTCCAAGTATCACAAAACTGATCTTCTCAATAAAATTTAAAATGCTCTTCGACTACTTGGCCCTAGTATTCCTGTTTATTTCACCTTGATGGAAAACATTAAAACTGATCCCGCACATTGAACGAGAAGCCGGCGGAAAATCAGAATTAAATAGAGAATTTTTTAAGTGACGGGTAACAATTGTGAGGGCATTTTAAAGTATTGTAGAATGTGAAAACTGCAATAGGGCAAGCATTTATATATCAAAGGCGATGGCTTCGGACGAGCAACGAGAGAGTCAAACAAAAGACTAAGATATAAACAAAAATGAGAGCCATACCATAAAAAAGTATAAAAACCGGAATACAAAAAAGCTTTTACCAGTGCAGTGCAGTAGTTTCAACTCAACGTGATCGACCCGCAAAATGCTGAAAATAAAGTACAAGATCAACTAAGAGAAAGGTGAATGGTCACACTAGAGTGTGGATAGCCTAATAAGTTGAATGTTGTTATAAATACATACAAACATTTTTCGAATAAATAAATTATTATTTATTTTCTAAAAATAATTTCAGTTTATCTTTTATAAAATACTCTAAAGCAAATATTCTTTATGACGGATGTCCGTATGTAAATATAGTTATTTCGAAAAAGTTGTTTTGAAATGAATTTCTGAAATAATTATTAAACCTTCTTGAAAAAATACAGCAACCATTAGGAGGCGGCTTAAGACTATAGAGCATTCCATTCATAAGAAAAATCATCATGATGCACACAGAGAGCTTCTCGAGGGGTTTTCCATAGTTAATATTTGATGTATGGTAGATCTACCAAATCTTAAACCACACCGATCAGTTCTTGGACGGTCGGTTTTAGTCTTACACGCTAGTTAAGACCTTATATGCGACCGTTCGAATAGCGATCATAATTCATGTTGATTTTAATGTAAAGAGGAAGATTTGCCATTAATAATGGAAAACAATATCTGCCAATTGGCTGTTCGGCTACGTTTTCCAGACCGCAGAGGCTTTTTAACAATAAATCTTGCGTTTTGAGAGCCCTAGTTGGGCTGATTGACGTACCTATCAAGGGCCTCATTAGTCAAGATGATTTTTCAATGAAATTCTGGATCATTTTGATGCAATTCAAGAATGCAATCAGCAAAGTCACAAAGTTGTTGATGATCTGCCGGCTTGAGTTCTTGTGTTAACTAAAATTTATAAGCCTTAAGGCCCAAGACTTTATGCAAGAATGGCGCTCCAAAAACGAGGAATGGACAAACTTGGTTTTTCTTCAACACTTTGGGCTACATCAGCATTATTCTTAGCTCTTCTTGAGCGACGTGCACGTCTTTTATTCTTCACATCACTAAATTAACCAACAGCTCCATTTTTTCCACCAATTTCTGTACTGTTTTAGAATTACGAGCCGTCACTACCTCATTTTCAAAGTGAATCCATAATTTAAATGCATTCCATTTCTATTGCATCTACTAGAATAGCAGACTATTCAAAATAAGACCTCTTATTGGAGATCCCTTTATTAGGGTGATGGAACGTCTATACCATCTTAATCAATGGATGGTTCGAGTTCTCTATATCCTGTGATTTCTTCTACACTGCAATTAAGCAAGGTGGAGATTCTTTTTTTCACTATGCTCTGTCGGTGAGCTTTCCTCATTTACCCATTTCACCTTCTCTCTTTTTTCCTCTGCAAAAGACTCTCGCTTCCCTTTTGTGGTATATAGTATTTTTTCTTTCCGTCGAGTGCAAGGTTTGGTGCATCAATGCTGATTAAAACGAGTGGACTCATTTGACCACGGCCAAAGTAGGTTATGATCAATTCAAAGCTGTCACGAGCAATCTCGAAATGGGACGCAAAGTGTTTGTGTGCTAAAGAATCCTTCGGTTTTTGAGATATTTCATCCAAACTTGTAAAAATCATTTGTCGGAACTAATCATTTCGGAATGACGTGTTAAGTTGATTTATCCATATCCGTCTGTCCGTCAATTTGTACGCAAACTAGTATCTCATCTATTTCAATCAGTACACAAATTCACTGGTACACTTATCCTAAACGGCTAAATCGGACGCCATATACACGACCAATTTTTGAGTTTTTATGTTTTGGTATTCTACACACACTGAAGGCCACGGTTCCTGTCCTGGTTCGACCAACATTCAAGATTACAGAATATCGATTTTTCTAATTGCACTTGCTTCTCGGCAGGGAATATGAAGCTCTTCGAGTGTATTTCTAACATAAAATAAATGATCCTCATAAAAATCCATCGGCCGTTCGGAGGCAACTTAGAATAAACTGTCGGTCCCTCCATTTGTTGGAAAAACATCAAGACGCATATCACGAATAAGAGGAAGAGATTGGATGCTTCAGCAGTTATAAAACATGTACATATGTATATACATATTCTTCTTTTCTATTGGCGTGGGCACCGCTTAAGCGACTATAGCCAAATTAACAATAGCGCACCATTCGGTTATTCTCTTCCCTCTTTGGTGCCAGTTGGAAATACCAAGTAAAACCAGGTCGCTCTCCCCCTGTTCCTTCCAAGGGACTAAAGGTCTTCCTTTTCCTCCTCTTCCACCGCCAGGACAGCATCAAAGCTGCGGTATTCGGTATTCTCTAGCAGATTCCCAGAACAGCCTCAGTAGTATGGCGGGAATGAGTGACTTGTAGAGTTTGGTCTTTGTTCATCAAGAAGCAAATGCTAGAACCGAAAACTATCTAGGACCTCGAAGTTATAACTGTCAACAGCGACATGGGAGCAGAGCCGTAAATACGGCAACTGTTTGTTTGACTGTCGTCTTATTCTCGTCGACTACCAGACCCATTCGCATCAGCTTAGACCAGCGGTTGTACTCTCTTAAAAAATATTGTGCCTTGTCAATTTAGCTCTGCTGCTCTTATTAAATATTTTCTGCGGTAACAAATTGATGAGATCAAATAATAAAGAGTCCCCTGTCGGAAACCTCGTTTGCTATCGAACGGCTCGGAGAGATCCTTCCAAATTCTAACAGCCCTTCTGTTGTTGTTCCGCGTCAGTTTACACAGTCTAAGAAGTTTTGGAAGAATGCCAGAGTCAAGCATAGCGGCATACAGGGAGCTCCTTACTGTGCTGTCGAATGCTGCTTTAAAATCGATTCTTTTCACACCGGCTTTTCCTAAGATTTTTCGCATGCAGAAGATCTGGTCATTGGCGATTTTACCAGGTCTAAACCTCTTCGTTTCAGCGAATACAAAGTACTAATTATAAATATATACGCATTGTGGTTTTTTTAGAGTTCATCAGCGAAATAGAATTTGCATTTGCAGAATTGTCTCTACATCGTACTTATGTTTAGTGAGTGCGTAAACGCCGTATGTGATAAGGCAACTGGATCGAAAGGTTTTCAGAAAGGAAATATGTGGATGTTTTATGATCCCAACCGAATAAGGGCTGAACTCCGAGATAACAAAACGAGTGGGAAGGTTGAACATTCAAAAGGGCTATGCTGGTATGTTCAGTGGAGGTTGAAACTCGATAGTGGCAACATCGGCGTTCGCCATGGACAGGAAAAGATGGTAATCACTTGATGCCAGGTCCGGACTATAAGATGAGTGCATTAGGACCTCCCATCCGAGCTCCTAGAGCTTATGGTGCGTCACCAAAGACATCTGTGGCCTGGCGTTGTCCAGATGGAACACAAGTTGGCCTCGGTTGATCAAAGATGGCCACTTCTGGATGAGTGCTGCTTTCAAGCGGTCCATTTGTTGGCAGTAGAGGGTCGAATTGAGCGTTTGGCCATATCCGGTCTTGGCCACCGTCTGGGCCGCTTCCCCGAGCTTTGACCACTACTGGATGCGCTCGGTGTTGTCGTAAGTAACACTTTTTTCATCGCCAGTCACAATCCGCTTCAGAAACGGGTCGATTTTGTTGCGATTCAGCAGCGATTCGCAGATGGAAACTCGGTCCATCATGCTTTTTACGTTAGTTCGTGTGGCACCCACACATCGACCTTCTTTTTGAATCCAAGGCTATGCAAATGGTTCCAAACGGTTTTCTGGCTTATCTTTAGTTTCTCAGTAATTAAATAAGTACCCACGGGCGGTCTTTGATATCGAAATTATCGGAACGGAATCTAGCAAACCACTTTTGTTCTACACGTTCGTTTACAATGTCGGGTCCATAAACTAAATTAATTTTTTCAGCCGCTTTGGCTGCTTTTTCGCCTTGATCGAAGAAAAATTTAGCGAATTTTCACTTTGCTGGTGTCCATCTTTGACGAGCGCTCATAACGTACTGAGTCAATCTATCGAAAAACTGTCAAAAACAAACTTTTAGCGCGTATAAAAACGTTTTCAGCGCCGTATAGTATGACATGATGCGGCACGTAAAAGTAATATGGACAATAACACCATCTCTTAGATAAAAACTGAACGAATCTTTTACTAAACCTAATATAATTGGCACTTTGTAGCCACTGAAGCAATTTTCGGCCGAGATTCACCTCCAATATTTGGTGTGCGTCTTGATGCCTTTCCAACAATGTAGGGACCTACAATTTATATAAAGCCGCTTCCGAATGGCTGGTGGTGATGGTTTTTTCTATAAGTTTTTGGATATTAGTACGACCGCAGAATTTGAACCCGAGCCTTTCGAATGGCAGTACGCAATGCCAGCCACTCGGCTAAGTTGTTAAATAAGTCGTCGTGTATAGTAAAAAAGAACTGTGTTTTTTGTATAAGAAATAAACGTTAGTTAAGTTCTTTACAATTAAGAAATTGCGCAACGAATATTGGACCTTTATTTAACAATAAAGTGCCCGAGCTCGAGGGATTTATAAAATCAAAGAGGCGAATTTAGCGAAAATCGCTGCAGTATCTTTGCTTTATCGTTGCCACCTTACCTTTGGATACACATTGAGCGAACTGGCAGCCTTGACATAAGCGTCCGTTAGTCTAATTTGTTTTATGAAAATGTGCATATACGTATTCATTAACTTTATTAGATTACTTCTATTCAAAGGCTTACAATTGAAATTAAATAAATCTAAGTATGTATGTATACACATATCCGAGGTGTAACTTGGTTATTTTTACATGCGACTTTATATAAAACAAGTGAATAAATTTAAGGGAAATTAATTTATAATAATTATTTTAAATATCTCTTTCTTTTATTTGAATATATATTATTCAAATTATTGCATAAAGTTAACTCATATGTGAAATATTAAAAAACACTTCATACAATTAAATTTCTAAAATCTGAGCAGGTGCGGGATTCACTTCTTGATAAGTCTCTATTGTTTCCACCTCTATCGGTTCCATTTTGATTCCGACACCTTTGCGTTCATGGGTCATTTTGTGATTACGTAGCTTATAGGCCTGCTGAAAACCTTTGCCACAAATATCACAACTGCAAAAACAAGAAAATACACAATTAAAAAGTTGTTTAGGGCGGAAAAGGTTTTCTCTTTAAACATACACATGGGGTTTCTCTCCGGTATGTATCATTTTGTGGAATTTCAAAGTGTTGGTATACGTAAAGGACTTTCCACAAACGTCGCACACATATGGCCTCTCATTGGTATGAATACTGTGTTAAGAGAGAAAAGGGGACAGTATAAAAATATTACAAGTTAATATGCAAACTACCAACCGATGATGTTTATTCCGAGTGGAAAGATCAGCAAAGGCTGCAGGACAATAACTACACTTATATGGACGATTTCCAGTGTGTGTATTCATATGGCGGGTCAATTGTTGAGTTTGCGCGAAGCAATGTCCACAAATTCTGAAAATTTTCGTAAATAATTGGTATAATTAAGAATGGATTGATTAAATTATAAACTTACTCGCACTCATGTGGTTTAATACCCTTATGCAATTTTATATGTTCTGTAAGACGCCCTTGAGATGGATAAATATTACCACAAATATCACAAATATACGATGTGGGTTTTTCTTTTTTCGGTTTGGGGCCACGTTTTGCTGGCGAAGTTTTTTCTTTTTTAATTACTAGTCCGTTAGCAGATTTTGAAGTAGATGCTTCATTTTTCTTTAAATTTTTTGGTGGTCTACCTCTTCCACGCTTTGGAGCTTCTTCTTCTTTGACAGGCACATAATCTTCATCGGAATATTGGAATTCCTCGTTAACTTCTTCCAGATATTCCGCACCGTCTGATAAAGCAGAGCCTGACCGCTACAAATATAGTAGTTTTTGTAATTATTCATTTTGCTTAGAGATTAAAACCTACGTCAATTGTTCCGAATTCGTCGAAAACTTCCGCTTCTTCGTCAATTGGTACATATATATCCAAAACTTCAGTGTCCGAGTACTCTTCTTTGATACCATCTATATCTGGTTCTACTTTCAAGGCTAGTTCTTCCACTTCTTCTACTTCTATCGGTACATAATCAGCAGCTTCTTCCACTATTGCAACGTCCACCACAGCTGGTGCTATGAATCTACTAAGGTGTTTATGTGAACGCTGACATGTAATACGGAACTTGTGTGCTACACGTAAATACTTTAAGCATTTGCCACATATTTTATCAGGGTAATGATCGAAACGTTTTATCTAAAAAAATAAATAGATTATTACTTGTATTATACAAAAACGCTTACGGCAGGCGCAACGACTGACATTGCTCTGCGCGCCTTAAATACGCACTGGTACTCCACCACACTCTAAAATCATTTGCGTCATATCTTTTTCATCATCTTTATCGAATATTGTAGTCATGACTTCTTCGGGTTGTTTTAAGCAAACCCGGCAAACTATCCATTTTTCGTTTAAACTTGTCTTCATGATGGTCTATTTACTATTTTGATCCTTGGTTGTGCCACTATAAAATACAAAATATTGTTTTGAAGAAAACCTTACAATACGAGAACGCTGTGACGCGATGCCAGTTTGCTATTTCACACAATGACACACGAACGGCAGATGTCAGTCTTCGAATCTTTTCGGGTACAGTTGGTAGCGCACATGCAGGGTTGCTTTAGATTGAACATTTAGCAGTGGCAAAAACTATTCAAATAGGAACAAAAGAAACTATTCTCTATTTTAGGAAAGTATCCGAAAACTACGTAACTCGAGCAACAAGAGGAAATCGATCATTTTAAATGTTATGTTGGAGCCACGTTATAGGGGAACGGATGTGAGTGCAAGGCTACGTAATTTTCTTCAGTTGAATTTTTTTATTATTTATATTATTATTTTTCACACATATGTATATTAATTTTGGCATAAGTCATACTACGTAAAGGTAGAAGAAAACGAAAAATAATTTCTCTCTGATTGCATCGATTTATAAATATCATATATATTTCTTTTTTTAGAGAAATGAGCGAAGGACAGTTGTTCAAAAATTTCGAAAAAATCGCTACGGGACTTGTAACAGATAGCACTGTTTTGGAAGAAAGAAAATCATTTCTTATGATTTCAATATTTATATATATATATACATATGAAAATACTTACGTTCTGCATATAAATTTTGAGAACGAACACAAAGCTCTTTTCATAAAACCTTATGTAGAATAGATCATTTGAAAAAGGGTAAAATTTCGGACCGAATATTGTAATGACAATCTCTTATATTTATCATAAGTTAATTTAATTTATTTCTTAAAAACATATAGATATAAAAACATGAATTTGAAGAATTTGTAACATTATAATAATTCACAAATAATAATTATTATTTTAAATCTTTGTAGTAGCGCAGTCTATCCATCAAGACGTATGAATCCGTTCATGAGTTCTTCTGTGATGAGCTTGCGTAAATTTTTTACCACAATATTTGCAACTAAAAAATTTAATATCTTAATTTATTCATTTCCTTTTAATATCGTTTTAAATTGTATACATACTTGTATGGTTTTTCTCCTGTGTGAGACATTACATGCACCTTGAGGACGTTGGAGTAAGAAAAGGCTTTGCCGCAGGTGTCGCAAACATAGGGCCGTTCTTGTGTATGAATTCTATTCACAAAAGGTTATAAAATTTTTATTCTAAAAAAGGATAGTGGAACTCACCGTTGGTGCTTAATACATGTAGACGGATCCGCAAAACTGGCTTCACAAAACTTGCATTTGAAAGGCCGGTTGCCTGTGTGAGAATTCATATGTCGAGCCAGTTGAGGAGTTTGAGCAAATCGTTTATGGCAAATTCTAATACATAAACATTGTTTTAAAAAATTTAATTATGCATACACATATGTACTCACTCGCATTCATGTGGTTTTTCTTTTGTGTGTATTCTTAAATGTAATGTCAATTTAGCCTTTTCATTATAAACATTACCACAATAGCTACAGATATAATTATTCGTCGATTTCTTCAGTTCCCTGGATGAAATTTCCACCGACTCTATTTTGTTTTTTTGGGAAGTTTTTGTAGCGTTGGTCAACTTTTTACGTCCTCGTTTCACTTGTGTGTTTACAGGAACAATTCTTGTGTTGATATCAGCTTCACATTCTGGGTTATCATTACTTTCATTTGGATATGTTTTTAATATATCTGAATTCGTTTTATCACTTAAGATCTTTTCCATATGCTCTTCAGAAGTTATTGCTTCTTCTTCATGTTTCGAATCATCGTACTGATTATTGGAGTAGAATGTAATCTCATCTGTCTGGCTTGTGGTACTATCCTCCAAAAAGCCATCTGGATCATCTTCTATTTCTATGTACTATAGATAAAAAAAATGCATTAATTTACAAATTATATAATTAAATCTTGATGTATGTATGTGCAGGCAAAATGTATTATAAGTAACGACCAAAACTTATATTCCCCATTTAAGATTTTGGCAACGCTTAAATTGCAATTCCGCTCAGTGGCAACGCTAATTTAAAATTATTTACTCAATTCATAACTAACTAATAAACAATTAGAAATAAATTACCTCTGCATCATTTGACTCAATAATGTTGTCATTAGTATCGTCGCAGTCCTCATTGAATCCTTCAATTACTTCAAAAACCAAATTATCATCAGTGAAGGCTTCACGCTCTGCATCTTCTAACAATACCAATGATTTATCGGAACTTGATTCATTTTGACTTTTTGGTAATTCTGTTTTATTGAAAACTTCTGTTAGTACGTCGGTTTTAACATCTTTCCATTTCAGTTCGCTTTCACTAAGGTTAAGTAGTTCCTGCCATTGCTTGGAAGCATATTGACAAAGCTTGCGAAATTTTATCGCAGCCTTTAGCAACAAAATACATGTTTCACATATTCGATCAGGACATGTACCGGATTCTTCAATCTATATTTTCAAATACATAATTATTAACGTTAAAGCAACGTACTCTCAAAAACTCACTGTGATTGATCCATGGTCAGCTATTTCTTCTGCGAGGTTCGTGTCCGGCCCAAATATGGGAGTCATTTCCTTCTCAGAAGTCTTCAAACATATTCTACAAATAATCCATTTACTTTCAAACGTATAGTCCATGAAGGTGTTTGTTAATAGATTACAAGTTATCAAATCAAATATTTATAATCTTCGCTTTTAGTAAATAATTATGTAGTTGGCAATGAATTACTGCTTCTATCGTTGCCAATGTTCATTTTATTATCATCGCTGTCATACAACTGTTCTTAACCCAGGTACAGTTTTTTTAAACACAGGGTTGCATTTTAAAGTATTATCTCGCGTTTTGTTTTAAAGTCAACATCAACAAATATAGAAATTCATTTTGCAACACTAACGTCCGCTGTAATTATGACAGATTTGTCCTACAAAACAATATTTGTTTTCCCTTCTTGTCTTCGTAAAATAAATAAATAATCACATTCAATAATTCTCGCAACACATTTTTTTAGTTATTAAATTGTATGGAAAAATGATGGATATAAAGTTGGAAGTGGATACATTGTCAATGTGTCGAATTTGCCTACAAAGCAGTGAAGAAGGTGAAGAAATGGCGTCTATCTTCGACCAAGATGAGGATTCCATTTGCCTCTACGAGAAAATTGAGAGTTGTGGCGGAATTAAGGCACTTTTAATAAATATAGATATATATAAGTTTTTAATAATATATTTTTCACAGATTCTCACCGAACCGGAGTTGCCTACTCGTATATGCAAAAAGTGCAATGCTTTCCTAACTATCGCTCACAAATTTCGTGTAATTTGTAGAAATGCAGACGACTATTTACGGGAATTTGTTTGCAAATCATCTGAATTCGGCGAAGATGAGGACAATAATTCCGAGTACTTATTAGAGAGTAGCCCTAAAGGAAGTGTAGCACAAGTATTGCAACAGGCCGGACATAATATTGATGAATCACAAACGGAATTTAACTATGATGATGTGGCCGTATACTCTGAAATGTGGATGCAAAGCGGAGATAATGAGGATGATCTGATTGTTGAAGATCATGGAGATGGTGTGCAACATACCCAAATTGTCGAGGAACCGAGAATTAGCGTTAGTCCCTCAAAAAAAACTCTTGGTATGACGTCGGACGGCGCTGCGGTTATACGAGTGAAAAATGAAAAACAACTTAATAAAGAAAAACAAATACACATATGTGACATTTGTGGTAATGTGTATCCACGTAAGTATGCATTAGAAGCGCATATGAGGCGTCACCGCAACGAGCGTCCATATGAATGCGAGTAAGTTTCATATATACAGATACATATTTTTGATCATTTGAAAAATAAAATAATTTTGATTTCCTGACGAATCAGAATCTGTTCGCAGTCCTTCCATCTAAATTTTCAACTAACACGGCACATACGTAAACATACTGGAGTACGCCCCTATGCTTGTCAGTATTGCAAACGGACATTTTCCGACAGATCTACAATGCAAAAGCATGAAAGGTGACTTTTTTAAAAATTAACAATTATATTAACTAACTAACGCGCATGTAAATAATTTTTATATTCAAAAAAGGATACATCGCAATGAGCGTCCATATTCCTGTGACGTTTGTGGGAAAAGCTTTACCTATTCCAGTGTTTTAAAGGTGCATACTCTGACGCACACAGGCGAAAAACCATTCATGTACGTGATAAATGATTTAACATTATTATTTTTCGGCAAAATTTGTATATATATATTTCAATTATAATTCTTTTTTACTTCTTTATTTCTCAAATAGTTGTGGTATCTGTGGAAAAAGATTTGCGCGTGGCCATCATCTGAGGGCGCATTTGGAAACACTTTTGCATCAGAATGATCCTCGCTCCAAAGTGCTTCTAAAACAAATTAGACGAGAAGAAGATCAAGGAAATGTATATGAAGAATCAATAAACGTGTAATAATCACTAAAAATTAAATGCCCTTGACTATGCAGAAGGCAGCAATTTAGGGTGTAGGAAAATGTTTTTCACTTTGCTTGATTGTTTCTATTAAAACTACAGATTACTTAAAACAAAAATATAATACGAACATCAACTTTTATAGTTTCATAAAGAAAACAAATATTTTTTATATTGGGTCTCCCCTTAATCTTAAAAAAAAAGTAACGTAAAATATGCATTCATCGATGTTAAGATGTATAACGGTGATAATGTTAAAAGTGAATTAATTGTTTTTTATTTTCAAAGTAACCAAAATCAATTTGGATCTGTTTTGGAATTCGCATTCAAATTGTAATTTATTATTTCAGACAATGCAATGCCTTTTCAAGCTGTTCAAAAATTTAATTGCGGTGGTGTTAATATGAAGGTACCTTATTGGAAAGCTATTTTTTGTGGCGGAAAATTTGTTTTAGTTTTACCGTGTCATGTCTGACTCAAAACTCCGAATTTTATACCACTTCAAATTGTTTATTCATTTTAAATAAATGGTTTAAAAATTTATTAAACTATTAATACCTTCCATCAATTTCTTTTAACAAGTGTCTAGGATTTTAAAAGCAAACAAAAATTCTCACACATCTTTTCACACACATAATTTTAGCTTTATTATATCAATTAATGAAATTAATAGACCAAAAACATAGAATATCTTCACAAATTTTCAATCTTACTAATATTAAAATATTTTTCATTGCGTTATGTTCGAGTTCAAAATATCAAGTCTAGTAAATATCGCGACTAAGTTTATTAGTGAACTAAAAATTAAATAACAAAACACGCGCTTTGGCTGTTCGTCACTTGCACGCAAACGCCTTGATTAAAAAATGTAGATAAATAAACTATCTTTCCTTGGAAGAAGAATAGACGTGAGACTCGCGTTATACATTCATTTTTTTTTTAATCTCAAACATATCGGCTTAATATTATAATTTCATATTATAATCATTTATCCCATTTTTTTATTACAGTTTGGTTTTCTTCGTATGGTTTTTTAATACGAATTACAATTTTTGTTTTTAAAACTTTTTGATTTGCACAGCAAAAAGAACACGAAATGAGTCATCAATACCAATAGATCGTTAATTTACTTGCTTAACATGCGCATCTTATCTTTTATTAAATTTCTGAGTTCGGTAACCATGAGTTCATGCGATTCCTTGAATATTGATGCCACATCACCAATAAGCGTTGCTTCGACCTCTGGCTTCAACGACATATCCGCCATAAAAGAGTTTAGTTCGCGGGGCAACGTTGGGGTCTTCCAATTCACTGCAGGGAAGATAATAAATATTAATATTACTATACATATATGTACATATAGGTTTTTTTGTTGTAACAGTTAAGATTCTCCTTACAAATGGAGTAGAGGAATAAAAATTAACAATGTAAAATCGAAAAAGGTAAGCATGGTCCTTGCTTATCAATTGAAAGAGTCGAGCAACAAGGAGATATGCTCTTACAAAAAATCTACATACAATATATATTTTTCCAACACTTACATATGGCAGTTTCACAGCTTTGAAATTGTTTTTTCAAATGGCGCATTAATTCAACAACCAACTGACTGCGTTCCTTCTCATGTATAACATTCAAATCACTATTGCCCTCGTGGCCAGTCTTTTTACGCGGTTTGATCTTGGCAGGTTGTTGCAATTTCTCATAGATGACCGATAATATAAAAGCGTATAATGACAGTATCTAAAAAAAAAAGAAGAAACAATTAGGTAAATATTCACTTGCTAATTGTGTGTGAAAGTCTCACCTCCAAACACGCTGCCACTTTGTTTTGCCACTCACGACGCCGCCAAAGCCCATCAACTGCAGAGTCACTCTCCGATATAACTTGTGCACAAAGTTGCACAATTTTAGTTGCATTATCACTTACCACTTTGCATTGTAAGGGCAAATTTGTGGCACCGGTGTATAGCTCCAGTATCAACTGCGCCAACGAACTAAAGAATTCCTCATATGGCAATTCGAGCAACAAGTGGAGCCGAGTTGGTAGCAAATTGACTAGAAAACGATTCGACAATGGTTTATAGTGCATGAGACGTAGTCGCTGAAATAGCCCCGACCATGAGTCACGTAGTAATTCGATTGTTTCCGTTTCTTTGACAGTTTCCACATCATTGTCGTGAGTGTTGTTGGTGTTGATGTTAGCGCTTTTTTGATTCGATTTTTTACTATTAATATTGCTATCGGCGTTTTGTTTCTCCTCTGTGGAATTTGTTACATCCAAATTCGGCTTTTGGTAGAATAAATCGACAAAAGATGCAACTAGACGTAACAAAAGTTGTCGTATCTGTAAAACTTCGACTTCCTGATCGAACGATTCCTTGCGATCGTCGTCAACATTTACCAAATGTACCGGATCCCAACGTACTATGGCGCCTAAATCACGATTATCAGATAATTCATGCCATGAAATGCGATCATCAGCAGGTTCGATGCTCATAGCTGTATAGGCTGCCAAATTCTGTCTTACATTACCATAAAGCATTACCAAATCACACAGTTGTGCCTCGACTGAGGTACTGACATAATGTATACTGTTGGTAAGACGTTCTTTAAAATTCATAAACTCTTCAAGTTTTGAAAATGTACAAAAACGATAAGTTAATGTTATATATTCCAAACGTTCCTTGTAGCTGTTGGTGAAAAATTTCAATGTGGAATCGAAAACTGTGCGCGCCATCGAAAAACGTCCGCTCAATGGTAATAAATTGCAATGGATGTAGCTCATCGAATCGAGTTGTATTTGCTTAATATCCAAGTAATCATACATTTCTTGTGCGCCCAACATACAGCCAAACATGTGGTAAATTTTTAGACTTAATAATTTTACATGAAAATTACTGGTGCTATTGCGAAGCACATACTGCAGAAGACACAGCGCCTCGAAAATTCTATCTGATTTTTGTTCTCTCAAGCTCACATCGTACATAACGTTTGCCGCCAACAGTGCGTACGCATCGGATGGGCCCATATCGGTATGCAATAAGTTCTTGCCAAAAGAGCTCAAACCATGCTCGTAATGTAACTTAAATGCAGTGTAAAATGCAAGCAAATGTTCCGTTTCCAAGTCTAAATGTGAACCACAAATGCGTGAAATTTGTAACGCACATATGTGCTTTTGCATTTGTTCTTTCTGAAAAAAAAATGTGTATCAAAATAAATTAATATGGGAGTTTTAGATAAAACTAGGTACACTACTTACATTCTGTGGCAATTTGGTGGAGCTAATGCCACTTTCCAGTAGCAATTTACTAGCTACCTGCTGACGTGCTTCCATGGTAATGGAGGGCAAGAAAAGTGCAATGTCATGTGTGCAACAAGGTTTATCTCCGAACAAGCGGAAATATTCAATAATCAATATGGAAAAGTCACCAAGCAGTGATTCCGCATTCATGCCTTGTGCTCGCATCCGCTTATGTAGCTCCAAGCGCGCTAAATATGGCCCACGCACCTTGCGCTCAGCAGACTCTATCATCTGTAAAGAAAAAAATGTACATATACGTATTTTAACTTGTTTCAATTATTAGTTCTGCCTTAATTGCGGAAGCAGTACCTAGGCCAATAAAGAAGGAAATATGATTATTCACAAACCTGGCAAAGAAAATCGTGACATTCATCCAGTGTGCTAATTAAATCATTTGTTTCATTCCCATCATTAGATTTATCGTTTAATGAATCTTCAGAGGTTTCTTTCAGTAGCTCGAAACAGCTGCCCAAGTAATCCTGATAATAGTCCCAACGGTCAGGACTTTTTAAAATACAAATAAAATTAACATTAACTTGTGTGTGATTGGTAATGGAAAAATTTCAAATTTTACACTATGTAAGTAAAACGAATTGTATCTATGTGCAGATGCAAATAATATTTCTTCGAGTATTTGGATTCGATTTCTAACTTCACGTACACATACATACAATCGTTAATCAAAGCTTCGAAAGCAGGAACTAAACGAAATTTCACAAGCTTCGGTAAATATGTAATGTGTATCATCTATACGGGTTAGGGCTTTAAGCATTTACCAGCGGTAAGGCATATTTGTTGTTAATATATATATGATAGTTACGATAGGAGAGTCGAGTTTTTAATCGTTCTTTAACCGACAAAGACTGTCGCAACATTCCCCGAAAATATCTTTTGTGGAATACTTTTGCGATTACAACATGCAATATGTGTCGTTAATTGTCTGACGCATGAAACCTTAACGGTAATGCAAGAAATTAGAGTATTGACTATTACAATCCTAAGCAATTAGTCTTCTTACGGACTGCGCGTTTTTAGAAGTATTAGAATATATAATTTCCGAAGAACTTGACAATTAACAAAGTAAGAAAATTTATATTGCAATGCTAGTTTTTGAATAATGAATTTTTTTCTAAAACCCATTGAGAATTTTGCTATTTAAAAGTTACAAAAACGGCGAAATGTTTTTAGTTTCTTTGAGTAGAGATGTGCATATACACACACACATTAATTAATTAACTACCATTTTTCATTATCTACAACTACTTTAAAGCATGCTTTATAACTCCGAATAATATTACTTACTCATCCTTTAACAAATCTTTAAGAAGTGAATTTGTTTCCTTCCACATGTTCAATTGCTTTAACAAATCAATTTTCATATAAACCGGAGCGCCCGGGTACAATTTTTCACATAATGCACCATTGAGAAATTCATAAGCTTCTTTATACTTTTCTTGCAACTTCAAAATATGCAAATAGAGAAAAACTTCCTGCTCCGACTCGAGTTTATTTTCATTGATCATTTTATCTACCATACGTTGTGCAAGTGCCAAATAAATTTTTGTTTTTCCCGGAAACTTGCTTTCAGGTCCACGTATACCCTAAAAGAAAGCATATTTTTGACATCTATAATTGAGCAATTATTAACATGTATAAATTACCTGAAGCACTACGCTCATTACTGCCCAGAAGTAGTAGGCGGTCTTTGGTTGGGCTTTATACAATTGCAGCGCAACGGATTGTTGCGATTTAAAATCTTCCAGACGCACATGAGATATAAAGAGATGAGCCAATAGTTCCTCGTTGCCAGGTGATTGTTTTACCGCATTATTATATAAATATACTATTTTATCCACTGTAAATTAGAGAAAAATATTACGGTATTTAAAAATGAAATATTCAAAAAAACTTATATAAACATATACATATATAAATATATATATATACTTTTCTAAAATGATTTGGTCTTCACTTAATCAAATGATTTTATTCTCTTAAATATTGTTAATATTTCCTCGCAAAAACGTTTATCCACCAAATAAATTCGGCCAATGCGTGTGCCCACATAAATTTTGTGGCGTGTATGATATGCTTCTGTGCATAAAATTGTCAGCGTATGAAAAATGTGCATTTGGCGGCAAGCGAAATACTATAATTATAATTTAATGAGTGCAACAAATATTTCTAGACATTTAATTGCTTTGAACGCTACCGACAAAAGATGCGGTTAGTTCATTTTGTCACATATTTAGAATAAAGCAAAAACTTTGGTCTTATAAATAAAAGTAGAATAAATTTATTTTCACATATTGTAATTAAGCGTTTCGGTGGGGGGCAAAAAAAAATCACACACACACACACACACACATATTAGAAGAGAATGGATATTAATGTGTGTAATTAATTATTTTTTAACTTTTAATTAAAAAATACTTAATTGTATTATTATATTACAATTATATTAATAATTTCGAAGGGATGTTGAGGCTTGCACCAAAAGTAACACATTAAAAAACGAAATAAATTAGTTTCACTTTTTTTTATGCAAAAAAAAAATCAAACTTTTACTTAAACTTATTTATTATTAAGGAGTAAATATTATTTTCCACTTATTTATTGTTTTAAAAACCAGCGGTTGTAGCATGCATAAATTGTAAATAACACATCCGTGCATCATAAATACGTACGTATGTGATGTATTTATTATAAAAGTACCTATTTCGTTTGGGGTGCATGAAAATTATTTTTATCACATGTGTATTCCGAAGGGGCGTATGTGTGTATTAGGGTTATACTTTCTTTGCAAAATACCAATATCATATTTAATGTTTTGAGCTATGATTTCGAATTTTCATGTAATAAACTAAATACAATAATAAAATATATTTAAATGACTGTAAACTACATACATATTTTGTTACACTCAACACACTCAACAGGTAAAGGAACCACTGTGGCTGAATGTCGGGTTATTCGTAAAACAAAATTTCGATACCCCATACCACATTTCAAATACCCGCGGTGGGGCATGCATGTAAAATGCTACTAAAATCTCCAGTTCCTGCGAGAGTCGAATCTTATACTGCAAAGGCATGCATTTTTATCGTGACAAATACTGTCACATCCGCAATATACCTCGGAAACCAACAACAAACAACACATTCGATAGGAAATTTATCCCTACGAGTGCATTTCTTTTACATACATGAATAAAAACTCCTCAAAAATTTCTTTTAGCTGTATACATTGGCAATTTGTAACCGCTGAAACGATCTTCCGCCGAGCTCCCCAACTTGTGGTTTTGCAGTCTTGATGTTTTTCCAACAAATGGAGGGTACTACAGTTTATAGTACTACCCCCTGCAGGTTAGGTGCACAAGAATTTACCCGCGGTAAGGCATGCCTGTCGTAAGAGGCGACTAAAATCCAATAGTTCCAGCGACAGTCGGGTCTTTATACCGGAACGACCCGGATTTTTATCCGGTCAAGGACTGTCACTCCCGCAACATTCCCCAAAAAGTACTTTGGGGAATAATTTTGCGGTTACAACAGCAACAACAGTTTATACTAACCCGCCTCCGAACGGCTGATGTTTTGTTTATGAGGAACTTTATTTCATGTCAGAAATACACTCGGAGGGGTAGATATTCCCTTCCGAGGGGCGACCGCAATTAGGAAATTTAGCTAAGAAATATTAATTGGAGAAATTAGGCGTCAACGACTTTTTTAAGTGAGATTGCAAAACGCTCATTATAATCATATCACTAATGGCAATTTTCGCTACCGGGATACAAATATTATAAATTGTGTACGTATACTTACGTTGTTCCAATTCTTTGTAGCAGAAAGATAGCACCTGCAGTGTTGGATCGTCCACCGGTTTCTCATTGCTCACTGTTTTCAATACGATTTGGCTCTCTTCATATCTTCCTAGCCGTAGTAACGCCAGTGCTTTTAACGCGCGTGCACACCACATATTAGGATGTTTTTTAAGAAGTTTTTCAGTCTCTTGAAGAGCCTTACGATTATTTCCAACTTCCAGGCTATCTACAATATCAACACAAATTTTAAATATATAGATATGTTAATCGTGATGTTAAAATGAACATAATTAGCGTAGTATCCACGTGCACTCCACACTTACCATAGATTGGCCTCAATCGTCTCTCAAAGACGGTGGCGTCTTGAACTTGTGACATTTCTGTGTTGTCGCAGGTAATTCAAATTTTATAGTTATAAACTATTTCTGTTATTCAATTTCAGATAAGTTTTACTATTGTTTCAATTTTTACCCGACGCCAGCGTGCACATGTGTTTTATGTATGTAATGGTTATTATTCACTTAATGTTCTTTTTAACGATGAACTATTTGATAAATTTTGTAGAAAATTCACATAAATTACTTTCTCCTACCATATGCGGGGAAAAGGTTAAGTGAGAACTTCGTAATCCTTTTGTTTATAATTTTCGCGTGAACTATTTAACTCAAAAATAATCAGGCTTCTCACAATTTTGTCGTGAAGAAAATTTTTTTGTGAAGTCTAATATTAAACAATTGATTTCCTTTGTGTCCTGCTTGCTCGGTACTTCAATTTGATGAACCTATGGCTTTATTTGTAAACCTTTATTAACTTTTAACATGAATATCGATATAATTAATTTATAAAGGTAATTGTCGCACCTCGTCCAAATTTTAAGAAGCATACGGCAAAAGTTGCAAGTAAAGTGTGCGAAAGATAAATGTCACGAAACGGCAACGCAAGTAAAAAAAAATCGCCGGTGACATTAAGAACACTGGCAGGTACAATATTAGGAAGCCTTCATTTGCGTTTATACCTGCATTTCGGCAAACCATTTTCGCATTTCGAAATTGTCATTGAAAACGTGATGCTATCGGCTGTATTTCGCTGTTAAGTTTTTATTTTCGAACAACAGTTGCAACAATTTGGCATGCGTCAGAAATCATAATCACTGCAGTTTTCGGCCGTGGTGGCCGAGTGATTAGCATTGCGTACTGCTATTTCGAGGGCTCGGGTTCAAATCCCCGTGCGACCAACATCCAAAAAATATAGAAAATTAATTTAAATAAATAATTAAGCTAAATTTTCTAATTGCGGTCGGCCCTCGGAAGGGAATGTCAACCCCTCCGAGTGTATTTCTGACATAAAATATTATATAATGAAAAACAAACATTTAATTTTTTGTTATTCTTTTTCTGATGCAGCAACAGTAAGAAAATGGCGAATGATTCCATGATATAGGAATCTTTTGAATTCATCTCAATGTGACTGTTAAATGCTTCTCATTTTATTCTGTATAACGAAATGAGTCTGTAAATAATTAGATGCCGTACGTTAACCTTGGACACACAACTAAATATGCGTCTAACACTTACTTACACTGCATCTGGAATATCTAGTGGATTGGAGAAATCGCATAAAATGGCATGTCGTATTTCCCATGTTTTTTCCAATTATTTCGGTATATTATATAAGCAGAAACAAAACATTATACGCAAATAAGTTATTATGATGTCAATTGTTTGACTAGTAGCTGTTTCGAATATAAGTTCGAACCTGTATAAAATCGAGTGAATTACATCACACCTTAAACCAATTCGTACGACTTACAATCTCGGTACGAAAACGTAACCGCGCGATTTGCAGCACATGCCATTTTACTATGAAAATTATTTCATACTATCAATAGCGGTACATGCATCTGTAAACTTACTACTAGAAGGTGGAATAAGGTAATGGAGTAAAATCAAAGCTCTATACATCCGTTTATAATGTCATTCCAGTTTTTTTTTTCAGTGTCGTTCGTAAATATTTACGAATATCTAAAAAAATAATTGAAGCCATCTGTCAAACAGAGTTCTCTGCATCAGCTTCATAACGTTAATATTGTGAGGTTGTAGCCCTTCTACACAGATTAGGTTTTGTGTTAATCGCAAGAAATTTAAATTCGCACAAATCATTTTAATTTCAATATGAACGATCCAAATAAAGCAATAAATGTAAATTTGTCATCGCTTTTGAGTCTGAAAGCTGAGTTGTTACGTAAACAAACTGAGGTAAATAAAGCTAAGGCCACCCAAGCCAAGGTACCTAGTCAACACAATGAATATACTTCTCACGCCCACTCCAGTAACAGTGCATCTGTAGGTGATTCTCATACGAGCAAGCAAAACAAAAAGATTAGAAGCAAAGAAGTCAGAACAGGCAGTGATGTTACCATTTATGAGCATGAGGATTCTGAATTGTTAGAAAAGTCAAAACGTGTATTAGAAGCGAAAAGCAAATTCTATGAACGTATGACCCGCACTGGCGGTCAACTTAACTCTGACGACAATTGTTTGGTATTATTCAACCGTAAGCATCAATATGAACGCGTTGATGACAAATCTCCTAGCCGGGATAGTGTCAAAAATATCAAGGAAAAAGATTCTGATTCGGACAGCTCAGCAGAGAGTGAAAACGACAAAGGTATAGATGACGATGATGAATGGGTTGAATATACAGATTGTCTCGGTCGAACTAGAAAATGTTTACACAAAGATTTAGAAATGGCTAAGAAGCGGGACGCTGAGCTTGCTGCTAGTATGCCTGAACGCCTAGATCAGTCTAAACCTAATTGGATGATAAATAACACATGCGATAATGCCGATAATGAAGAAGATGTTGTACCTTTTGGGCCTTTGCCGACTGAGAGCTTATTTGGCGATGGTATTTCCACGATGTCAAAGCATGACGAGCAACGGGCCAATTGGGAGCGCAAGGAGCAGGAAAATCTAGACAAAATAGACGTACACTACCAAGATGTTTTCTTTGATGAAGCACGGCAGCACGGCGTTGGTTACTATACGTTCTCCACCGACGAGGAAGAACGTAAAAAGCAACAAAAGGAATTAGAAGAAGCAAGGAAGCGTACAATTGATGAACAAAAGCGACGAGATCAGCTACGAGAGCAAAGAGAAAAAATCATAGCAGATCGAGTGCTTGCTGCGAAAAATAGACAACGGGCACGACTTGGGCTCCCACCACTTGCCAAAGATGAAGAAAAAGAAAAGGCTGAAGGTGGTGCAGAAGAGACTAAGGAGGAACGCAAAGCACGAAAGCGAGCTGAGAAATTAAAAAGAAAACAGGATGAGCTAGAAAAGGAACGAGAATTAGAGCGACAAAAGCACGTAAGACCGTGGGACAAAGAAAAAGAATTGACAGACAGCTCTAATGTTACTGAAGATTTATCGAAAGAACTACATTGGGCGTATAAGCCCGAAAGATTGCCTATGTCTCAGGAGCAGTGGAATGAAAAAAAACGGGCTGAACGCGTTACAGAATTTGCACCCATGAATGAGTTAAAGACACAATCATTATCTCAACCAAAGCGTAAACATTTCACCAGCATGCCACCGCCACCACAAGATTCATATTCGGTCGATTTTGTTAATAACACGTCTATATCGTCGGCCCCCGATAATTTTGCAAGTTATCAAACATCAAAAGGAAATAAGAAGTTTTTTCGACGTAACTATGCTGCAGAGAACTTGGAATCAGAACGACAAGGCGCGGCCATACCACCACCTAAAGACATTGATTACGTACCTGCTCCACATACCAAGAAAATTAAATCCAATACCGAACTGGAAAGTTCTATAGAAGCAGGCCTGCGTTTTCTACGAAATAACTGTGACAAAGGAAATTTGACCACAAAGTCAAGTTGGACAGCAAAAGCAGACTACTGAACTTATAAAAAGTAGAATAGACATACATATGTATGTACATACTATGAATATTTTAATAAACAAAGCTTGACAAAATAACTTAATCATAGATTTTGAAGTTTTTATTCAGTTTATATGTATTAAATACACATTTTTCATTCCGCTTATAGATATTTAACAAACATTTGGGAGATTTTACGAAATTTTGTTTACTCATTTTATAAATAATATGCAATATTTTTCGAAATTATAAATCTTTATTGTCAATGTGAAGTTTTAAAGTTTGAACATTTCTTTTCTCCGCTTAATTTTTAGTGAATTATTATATTTTATTGATCATTGACAAGTACGTCCTCAAAATGCTAAAAAAAAATTAATTTGTGCTAATCACATCAAAAAAATTTGTTTGTTCAAAAAAACAACACAAAAGTACAATGTAGAAGGGCTGAAATAAAACTTTCTGGATGGATTCCTACATACGCGGGGTTTACACTGTGTTTTGTTCGAAAAAAATTTGGTAATGATCCATGTACAAGTTTTCCAATAGAATCTTAATCTGTTAGTTCAACACTCTTTGATCTTCTATCGTAATCAATTGAAATTAATTACGCAACAATTTTTCTTCACCAATGTAATATATCTACGAATCTAAGAAAAATATTTGTTTTTGACTTTGACATTGTAAAAATAAAAAAAAATCAGTAAATACATTTCTATATTTCGTTAAGAATGTAATATATTTTGTGCAAATTGTGCAAACGTTGTTTATATATTAGTGAAATACTTTGTGTAAAATACAGTTAGCGGTCACGTACAAGACTTACATACATATATGTATATGTAGTACACATCTAAAGTTATTAATGCCGCCGTAGTAAAGGCTGCTAAATGTACTTTTCGATAAAAAAAATATATATTTATTAATCCTACACATCTTTATATGCTGGTATTAGAAACTTTGTTTTTAAAATCTTAGGAATTTTGGTTTATTCGAAAGCAAATTTCTTATTTTCAAAAATAGCGCTTGACCTTTGCATTAAGACTTTTTTCGGCTTTTTAAAAAATTATATAGAATGCAATTAGCCTTTACTCCCGGGGCTACGAAACAATTATGTCTTTTATTTATTTATGTGTGTCGTTAATATGTGAATCTGCGAACGTCACAAATATATATATTTACAAACACACATCTGTATATGCTGTCCTCATTAATTCCAACTATTTTAAATTGCCGGTACTTATTTCTTACGTGCATATACATGAATACATATCTAGATTCTGTCTATGCATAAATACCTTTTCTGTAAAAATAATTCTAAAATAAATTAGGTGTAACGAAAATTAGCGGTAGTTGGAGTATTCATTTATGTATATAATATTAAGTAACGTCGAGCTAAAAGCCTTAGCTTGTGGGGTAAAGTTGCGTCAAATCGTTCTTAAATTAAATTCTTAAATTATATCTCATTATAGAATGCCCCGATCAACCATATCGACGACTATATCAGACATTTTTTGACGACACAAATCGTTGGGCGGAAAATTCAAAACTGGAGCACCGACTTCCATACCCTCGGGACGCATATTTAAGTACATATCTGGTGCATGTTCCGAAGAGCAAGTAGAGATTGGTATTATATCAAGGGCAATTCCAAGAGCAAAACGCCCATAGGTTTTTAATTCTTCCCAAAATCTACAAAAAAACAAAATTCATAAAGTATACATATATATAAATTTTTTTTAAACTATTATCGATAATTTTAGTTTTAGCTTACAGTTGGGAAAATTTTTCTGCTGTGTCAAATGATTCCGGTATGTTTGTACATAATATTTTGAGCCAACCGGAAACTTCGGATGAATATAATTTAATAAACGCATTTAAATGTTCATCACGTATTGCTTTTGTTGTACAACAAAATAGTATATCGGCTACATCCAGTGCAATCGAACTATACCGTATCAGTTGAAAATCTATTAGACAAACCTAAAAATCGGTTCAATATACGTACATATTTATACGAATTGTGGTAGTTGAAAATAATTGAATTTGTATAGCTTACATCCACGGCCTTTTTACGTTCTACATCATCACCAGCACATTCGTAACGATAGAGGAAATTGTTGACCCAGCAGTCGCCATGGCAAATAGCCGATAGTGTCGTTTCTGCGCTCACCAACTGTACCATTTGCGAAAAGAATGTTGAGCAATCGACAAATTTCTTCATTGCATCCAAATATTTAGATCCTTCTGGAAGTGTATCGGAGACCTGGGAGAGTAAAATGTTTAGTTACGTACGTATATATATATATATATATATAAATATGTTTACCATTTTAATGGCATCTTTCGTTAGTCCATCATAATAGTTTTTATACCAATTCGTATTTGAAGAACAGAATAGACCTTCAGTAATCAGTTCACGTAAACGATTGAATTGAGTGGGATTTTCAAACTTATAAGCCAAGCTAAGTGCATGGAATTGTGCGACCTCTTTTAGTACTAACTGTGTCTCTTCTATGCTTAGACCCTTTTGACGATCAGGCATTTGAAATTCCCGTATACGTAAGTCCTCTAAAAATAATAAAATTACCAATTCGGTGATTTCCTATAATCCAAAAAAAAAAAACAAATATTCTCATACAAACCCATTATCAGAAGATCCTCTCGCGTATAGTAGCATTTCGGAGTGGCTGCGAAAACTTTTGCCGTTTTTGTAGATTGAAATCTTAATAATTCCGGCAAAATTTCCATGTAAAAGAGTACCTCGCTTCTAAAAAAAATTTATAAAGTAAATTTGTTTAAGATGCTTTGAAAATTTTATATTTTTTATATACATACTTATGAATATATATATATATATATATGTATGTGCTACTTATGTAATATAGTCGATGTCGCACTGCCCAAAGTATATATTAAGACCAGAAAGTTTCCGAAAACTGTCATTTAAACTGCCCGCGCTGAAAAATTCTCAGCATTTATACTCTTTATTGACCGTCTCGTCCCGTTGGAACGAATTCATGATGAACCAAACCGCGAACGTCGAAAAAAACGATATCCGGAAACATTCTGGTCTTTTGCATATGTACATACACATGTGTACCATACAGATTTTTGTTTTAAAGATTTTTATACAGTGTTTTCCAATAGAGGAAATATCACTATTAAGGGGTAAAACCGGTCTAGGATTTTGGAAAACGCATTTTTTTTCTCACAGGTTACCTTAGGGTCCTAGAAACGATTTGCAATTGGTTTTAAAGTGAAAAAATATTTCAAATATTGGGTTGCCCAAGAAGTAATTGCGGATTTTTCATATAGTCGGCGTTGACAAATTTTTTCAACGGCTTGTGACTCTGTAATTGCATTCTTTTTTCTGTCAGTTATCAGCTGTTATTTATAGCTTGCTTTAGAAAAAAAGTGCGCGAAATTTTGTTTACATTTGTTTGTTTTGTTGCAGCGCCTCAGAGCGTGCGCTGAGTACAGGGAGAACTTTAAAGGCGTTCTTCTCAAATCTCATATTTTTCAAACTGGGAGGACAGACTATTCGGATCCTATTGCATGCATTTATCTGAAATTTTGATGGTAGCTTCACAAATACATTTTTTCGATTACATGTAAACTTTTTTTTTTTTTTTTAATATTTTTGTGCGTATTTTTTTAGTCAAATTTAAGCTTAAAAAAATCAAAAAAAATCAAAATTAGTTAAAAAAATAATACGTTCGAACTTCCAAGTACCATGGTTTGTAGATCATAAAACTTTTTGCTTTACTGTTCTAGGTCTCATCCTTTAGAATAAATGGGTAGTCTCGTGGACGCCTTTCAAAAAGACATGCCGTAAATAATGGAATTTATCATCGCCATTTTGAAAAAAAAAAATAATAATAATAATTAAAGAATAATTTTTTATACTTCAATATAACATTGTTCGATATAATATAACATATATATAAACAATGACATGGTTAAATAGAAATTCTATGCCTTTTTCCATATTCATTGAATAATTTCAAAAATACGAGTACATTTTTCAACTTCTAGAGTGGCTTTACCCCTTAAAAAAGAATCATGCAATAGAGACGTTTCTAATAAACATTTGCGCTTATTCGGCTTTGCATTCGAATATTTCAAAATGTGTCATGAATACGTGTTAAAACAATATATTTTTATAAGCTTTGAATTTTTTCCCTAAAAATATAGATTTTATTTATTTAATATTTTTTTTCGAACAAAAATATGTTTGGTATCATTTGTTTAAATTAGGTACTCGATTTAATTACAAGTATACAAGTGTACATATTTACATTAGTGTAAATGTCTTAACAACTTCTATATATTAATTTAAAACAAGTCAAAAGGGGCTGCTGTGTTTGTTTGAAAGCAACAGCTTTTAAAATTCTACTCAAACTGTTTACTTTTGCAAGAGATAATGAATGATTTTCTTTCTCTATAATATTAAAGATATGGCAACGCAAGCATAAATAAATACTTTGACAAAATTTTTATAAGCGCGTCGGTGGTGTAATGGTTAGCATAGTTGCCTTCCAAGCAGTTGATCCGGGTTCGATTCCCGGCCGACGCACAGTTTTTTTTTATAAAAATTCTCTTTAAAGTATATTATTTAACTTTCAATAATTTATTCACTAGTTTTCTTATTTTTTTACTTTTCATCTATTTTTTCATAAATAGCAAAACTTTTGTATTTGTATAAATATTATATTTTGTATAATTTCCATAAGCTGACAACTTGCCTCTACTCACCTAAATAACTTATCACTCTTATACGCTTCTCTCCGTTGAACATTATCCGGTATCCTCTTACAAATCAAGCTCTTTTCCCATTTATGTATTGTGCCATCCGTTGCGTTAATCTGTTGCCCAGTAAGATGAGCGCGATATAATGTGGCGGTATAATTATCTCCTTGCCCCGAACCTTGTTTCTCCTGCAAAACACACATATACATATATATATATATAAGAATGCATATTAAGAATAATTATCTGCTGCACAAAAGTACAATGCTACATTTGACTTAATTACAGCACATACATATGTATTTTATATATACATACGTGTATGTAAATATATATGAACTCATATGAAATACCACCAATTACTAGTTCACGCTACATTTTTCTCAATGCCGACATGCCGACATGCCGACGCAGCCCAACCAAAAATAAATATGTCAACAGCCGCAGAGATATAAAGTATGCCACAAAGGCTTGCGATAATTTATTTATTATTATTAAATATGTAAGTGATTAAGAGAAGCTTGCAACTGAGAATCAATCGATTGTAATATGTAATATGTATGTAAGAAGATATATGTATGTACATACATACTGACATATTTTATGGGATACGTAGATGCAGTAACACGGTAACAGTGCTCACATGTAATGATGTAATAGGACCACTGTGTGTGTGGAGCTCTTGTATAGCAGATTATGTTTATATTTGTATACATATGTACATATGTATGTATCGACATATGTGCAGTTGTATATACCAATAATAAAATATCAATCATGCTTACCTCAAATGTATCGATTTCTACGTCCGGCTCTATACTGCGAAAAATTTCACGAAAAGTTTCCAATGTCACTTTCGAGCAGGTATCACCATCATCGGAAATCTTGTCAGTAACTCCCATTATCTTATTTATTTTTACTGAGCAGCAAGTAAATATTTATACAAAATTGCAACTTTTCTCACGGCCCAAATGTTGCATATACAAACATACGTACATGCATACGTATATTTTATTTCATCCAGTTGTTTTTTGGGTTTTTTTTTTAATTTGATTACTTTACGTACGTACAATAAAATTTTACAAAGACACACCTTTGCTGTTTTATGCGAACTTTTTGAATATTATACAATTGAATCTATCTTGTGGATAGTGAAAATCACACTAATATTCAGTGGATAATGTTTTTCTTTATATACTGCTGCAAGCAAATCTCATGGATTACACAGCCTATCCACTTGACATTCTTGATACTTTTGCGAATTGCTTGCATCGATTTTCTCTGCTGAAAGTTTGACAATTATTCATGCGGGTAGTAACGTAGGGGTGGTTTAGCGTCTGTCAGTTTTTTGAATGAAATTTATATGTATTTGGTTTTCCTCTCTGTTGTCAGTTTCCGGTATGGTATACTCATTGTGTTTATCCCACTTTAACACTAAACCTACCAGTATCGGTCAAATTGACCGTTTTCAAGCGTCTTTAAAGCTTACACATTTTTAAAAGTGATAATACCGTAATCAAACTTTATGCATACGTATATGTATATGATAAACCAAATACCTAAAGTGACAACCTACAACTTTCCGACTTTGGCAACTCTTCCCTGTTTCCACGAATCGTCCAAGCAATTATAGTCTTCTTTTCGAGTTGATTAATAGAAAAAAAAATAATTAGAAGCAAATAATCAAGAAACTATAATATGCATGTTTTAAGAATTGTCATAAAAAAAAATAAATAAAAAAAATGAGTTTTACAAAAGTTTGAGAACGGTCATTTTGACCGGTGCTGGTGAGCTTAGTGTTAAAGATGGTGATGCCATATTGAGGCAGTATTTTATATAAGACTATCATGTATGGCATATTTTTAGGCTGCTTGGGTGTGATAACAGAGAATGTTAAAATTAATTATTTGGCGGTCTTTCTGAAATCCTTTTGAAATTTATTTATCCATGAGTGGGGTTTCGAGATCCAATTGAAATTGTGAACAAAAAATAATAATAATATAAAATAATAGATATTTTTTTAATTACTCAATTTAAATTTTTTACTGAATACCATATAAATAAAGATGCATCCTACGTTATACATATGTATATGAGGGTGTAGTGGAATAATATGGACTGCGCTGGTAAAATAAAGCAGCTACCAGACCTCAGTAGGAACAGTGTAGACATTAAATTGTCATTGGAATGATTTCCCGATTGCGTCCCCTAAATTCTCTGAATTTAAAAATTTCGTTTAATTCAGCAAAACTTTAACACAAATTATATTTGTAAGCTTTTTAAGATTTATGAAAAAAAAGAAATAAAAAAAATATCTATATCTTACAACTACTACAAATACCTAGGTGTACAAAAATTCGAAAAAATCAAATCAATAGGATTACAGAATTCGAGTTAAATTAGATGTGTGAGTCCAGAAAACTGGAAAGCTGGTTTCGCTACAAAACGAGATGAAATAATTTATGCGAATCCAAAGAACCTTTTAAAATTATGTCTAAACTGACAAATGTTATCTTATATGTTATACATATGTTATAATAAAATAAAATTGCAAAAAAATAGTAGAAACCCCATTAAAAGCTTAATAATTTTCGTTTTTACTTAATAACACAAAAAATATGACTTTGAAATGTTGGTATCTATAACAGATTGATTAGACAGTTGCTGAAATTATGTTCATATACGGTCAATTACTTATACTTCGAAAAAAAATTCCCCGTTTTTGGTGTTATGCTTTGCTAATTATACTCCAAAATTAATTATTAAAATTTAAAGTTCAATTTTGTTGAATGGTAATAAAAAAAATATTGTGCGTCGGCCGGGAATCGAACCCGGATCAACTGCTTGGAAGGCAACTATGCTAACCATTACACCACCGACGCGGATGTCATTATTTATTACACTATGTCGTATATAAAGACATTGTTGCCACTAAATATATTTCCTTACATATGCACAAATGTTGCATTCAAAGTCATGCCTTTCATATTTTTGTTGTTGTTTGTGTAGACGTCATAGTAGTTCTGTTCGGTGACTAGATGAGTAGTAACAATTTTTACCAAACTCGTTGAGCCAAAAGCTCTGTAAAAAGTGGTAATGAGAGAGCTGAATTTTGACGTTTAGTTGCAAAGAAAGTTACAAGTTTATGCTGGGAAAATTTGAGCCGGTAAAAACCAGCAAGTATGAAAAACAGCCGATTTGTGATCACTGAATTTTCGTCAACAAAACAAAATCAAAATGTTATATACATATACATATAATATACACTTTAACATGAATGATATACACACTAACAAAATAAATGTCGACATATAATTTTGCTAAAGTAAATTTAATGGTATCAACGATTCAATTATATAGTTAAGAGGCACACCTAGTGTGAAATTTCAAATATATATATTTCGGTAGATTACACCTTTAAAAATAACATATTAAAATTTCAAGTCGATATCTCAAATAGTTTTTGAGTTATAGCAATTTAAAGAGCAGCCGCTCGGCAGCTAGAGAGTCTTATTAGCTACGAGTGAAAACGATCATTTCATCTTTAAACGCGTTTTTCTCGAAACAGCATTTTCCGAATTTACTGCAGTGATTACACAAAAATAAATAATCCGACCACTATCGATTTTTTTTACCTGTTCTATATATAGTTCTCCGTACAATGGGGTATCGATTTTTGATCTGATCAAAAAATCGAATTTTGGCAGGCCAAAAACGACCAAAATTTTGGGTAAAATTCGGCTATTTTTTTTTTTTAAACGCCGCCATATTGTCAATTTTTGATTGTTTTTTATCGTAGGTCATTGTACGGACAATATTATCTACTTTAAGGAGAATTTTGTTTTAGATTTCATCCAACGAGAAGGTCGGAATCACTGCAGCAGTGAAGGACCTCTTTATTCGCGCCGTTGGAGATCGACTATAACTTAAAAAATATTTAATTTTTTTCTTCAAAAATTTCACTGTATATCCTTGAAACATGTATAAATATATTCTTAAAATTTTGAAATAATTGATAAAGTATTTTCTTTAATAAAAATTCCCAGAAATCACCATTTTTTTAGGCCATTACACTAGGTGTGTCCCTTCAGGTACTCGTTAAACGCAATTTCGGTTGCAGTGGTAATGAATTAAAAATTAAATACGTTCAAAGCATAGAATTAGAATTTATTATTATTATTTTGCACAATACAAATTGAATTTTGGTTCCTTTAATTTACTGGAAAACAGTGCCGACCAAATGAGCCGCAAAACACTACGAAGCAAGGTTGTTGCAACCGTCACATTGACGATAATACGTTCTTAAGCTTCCGGAAGCGACGACGATGTACAAAATGAAATATTAGTGGCTTTTTGAGGGGAAAAAAAGCTCTTGCTTGGTTTATATTTAAATAGAATAGGATAGGCTGTATAATTAGGTTAAGTTAATATGGCCGACTTACATGAAAAAAGAATTTCAAATTCATTTTCGTATTTCAGTCATCCTTCCTAAAAATATAAGTGACAAAATGTTGCAAAGCATGTTTAACATAAATCTTTCTTTCTCTTAGTGGATTATTGGGAAAACATATTGGTATATTAATCGTTGGACTGTTATAAGCATGTAGAATTTCGTTATGGTTGAACTACAATAAATTTTGAATACAAAATAAAATACATATAGTAGATTTGATGTGCTTTCATTTATTATGATATAAAGTATAACTTTTCAATTAGAATCAATTGTTAAATGTTAACATTGAGTGTTTGCTCAAGCAAACTTCCATTTGGTGTTGAAGATTTAAGTATGTATGTATAAGCTATTAGTTGATGTAAAGATTTCATTTGATTTTCAATGTTATAAGAAACTAGCAGCTTCTTCGCATAAATCATTCAAAATATTTTTTTTTTCTTTAAAAATCGCTTAAAAATAATGTTTAAAGCTAATTATGAGTTTTTGCATTGCTCTGATCACTATTGGCGCCGACTTGATCAGCATTTAATAATCGAATGGGAACCAAATTTAGTTCAGCCAATTCAGCGCCATATGGAAGAGGTCGCTGAGGCCACACGCGCCGCTGCATTAATTTCTGTCCTACTTCCAACTGCCGTTGCAAACTGGCAATCGTCGGATAAATATTTTGCTCAACAAATTCTGTGATCGTATACTGCAAGAAAAATAAAAAAAAAACTTAGAACCGTGGAGGTGAACACAATTGTCCTATGTGCAATTTGTATACCTCGTCGAATACCTCGAACATGACCTCGTGTGCTTCTCTGGCCATGGTACTCAATTCATTAATGTAGCTGGGAGTGTTGTACGTCAATTCGTGCACGCGCAGTGGCGATGAGAAATTGTGGCGCACATTATAGTCAGACATCCAGGCACTACGATCACGAACATGTACTAAATAGTTTTGCAGTTCGGTTAATTTGTCGAAAAGTCGCAGTGCAAACTTGTAAATCATACTGCCAGGATATGTACATGATGAGAACAACTGGCTATGATGTGAGTTCGGGTGAAGTTCTATCCAAGGTTGTCCCGATCTTCTATAATTGCAAACGTATATAAATACATATGTACATGTTTGTTTTGGTAATATTTAATTAAAAGCTCACCTGCTATCCGGATGAAAGGCACACTCTAGAATACGCAATATGCTGTTCTCCTTTGGATTGGTAATGAAATAACCCTTCGACACAGTAGACAGCGAAGTGATTAGGCTAGGGATTCCGACGGGTAGCAATTCACACAATACTGCAAAGTGGTCATAACGTTGCCAGCCAGTTAGTGCTAGACCACGAATGCCCTTGGAAAAACTAAATAGAGCAAATATAAAACTGTTTAATATATATGTAAAACACAGCATTTACCGTCCACCTTCTTTCGCAATGACTGCCAGCCATCTTATATTGTTTTCCAAATGCCGTTGTAATGGTGGTACTATTAAACTTTCCCCAAAAGCGCCTTTAAATGCAGATGCTGCCCAAACAGTTGGGAAAACTTTCGAATACATGTCCCACAACTGTGGCTGAATAAATCGGTATATATCGTTGGCATATACCCAAACCATGGGCTCTACATAACTGCCGATATGAGAATGTTGCATTTCGCTTAGCATCATGTCTCGTAACATATCATCCCAAATAACCACCTGCAAATGTGGCCAATGTGTCTTAACGAAATTGGAAATACCAGTGACGTGTGTAAGAAAGATCTCATGATGACCATGTTCGCGGCATTGAACGCACTCGCCCATGCGCGCCACTTCGTCGCACCCAATGTGGATATGTGTAAAGGTTGTGGCGTGAGTGGATGGCTCATTAGCTGTTGAATTGCTACTATATGCGGCAGCGCCTGCATCTATACTCATATGGAATTCTATTATTTGCGTCACCATGTTTTGTATAAATAGGATGGAGTCCTGTTGGCTTGGGCAAATTGATTCTGGACTTTCTGGTATTTCGCGCATTTTTTCAAACTCTTGCAGTTTTAAGGCAAATTCAAAGTGCCCAAATGTTTGCACCAAAGGCATTATAGATAAACCATGCATCTTGACGCTTTCCAGAAAGTCCTAAGAAGAGAAGAGAAGTATTGATAAGCATATCTATTTGTTGAAACAAGCTGTGCTTAGTACCTTTAACTCTTCTGCTTTATACGCATTTTTGGCGGATAAAGCTTGTAATACCCCTGTATATGGAAACATATCTTCGTATTCGATCAGAAGACCAGTAGCACCAAGCGTTTTCAGCATCGGCAGCAACCGTTTCAGAAATGAGAGCTGCATTGCGAAAATTTGAAATGAAAGAAAACTTTAATGACACGCATTAAATCCCTAATTGACCTTCTGGGAAAGTTTTCCTGGTATACAAATTTTAAACTTATAACTCATTATAATTTCATTAAAAAGATCGATTAATTGGTCGATAGTTTAGTATAATTTTTTCATTACAAACCTTTGGTGGTGCACCCTTCAAGTCCAAATGTACGAGGCGTTCGTTTGGGGCGCGTGCACCACTCGGCCCAATACCAGGTATAACAGGTACACCTAAACGCAAGAGTTCATGTTCGTATTGCGTTTGTCGTTCAGCCGAAGTAAGCATTCGATCATAATCCATACCAATCTGAAACTCTCCCATTCCAGCGTTGCGAACACGCTGCTGGTTCTCAAGTATTTTTAGGCGTTCGTCTTCAAAGAGATAATTTGCAACAGCAACAGGCTTTTTAGTACGATGTGGGAATACCGAAAGCGTATGCTCCGTTGCTTCTAGAACAGCAATTGAAGGGGGCCTTTTCGTTGGCTTCACAAAACGAACAATTCCAGAATTTTTGCCACTATGCGCTGCTGCTGGCACAGGTATGCCACCGGTGGGGCGCCGTTCTTGCGATAAATTCTGATCGACACTTGGTGAAGTGTTGTGCCGCTTTTGTTGGTAGCGTAAAACACGATTTGCTTGTGAAATTAGTTTTTGTAGGAGATATACATGATTTTGTGGATTGTCAGTTTGAATAAGATCCTAAATATAGATTTTATATGAATTTTCCTAAGTTTAGATAATATCGAAAATCATACGTTAAATTGGCCATCTGTTGGTATATCTGCGCTGCTTGAAATGAAAAAAACCCAGGACCAAAGCGCAAGCAACACCAAACTGGAGGCGATCAGGAGAACACTGAGTTTACGACGCCAAATAAGTATTATCCAATTGGATTGCATCTGGAAAAATGGGAAAAAAATAAAAAGTGTATAGAACCACGCATATTTAATTTTTTTTCGTGCCTAATATTGACCAAATATGACAAGCGTTTACTGAATTGTGTAAAGTAAAATGTAAAACTGAAAACGGCGTTTTCTTATTACGATCGTTTCACTGGGTATGAAAACCAAATACCACCAGACATATTTCCAACATGAAAATAGGTGACATAAAACTGTAGGTCTCTCTCTTTGTCTAGAAAACATGAATATGCATACTAAAAATCGGAGAATAAGCTTGGCAGAAAGTCACTTAAGAATCCATGAGATCTCAAATATTTTTCGTTAATTTCATAGCACCGGGTATGTTAGTGCATTTGACGTTTTATATGAAGTGTTTTTGCATATTATATACAAATGCGATCAAAATCATAGTGGATCAAATAATTTATTACACCTTTTTGGTATGAGAAAATATAGTTTCTAATTGCAGTCGCCGAAACTTTTAACCCTACTCCATTTGCTGAAAACCACATATTGAAAGAGCTCTGCCTAAAATTGCTTCGGTGGTTAGGAAACGACAATTACGAGGTGTGTTCAACAAGTATCGCGAATTTTTAAGTTTTAAGTTTCGCGGGTAACGTATAATCGAATTTTGATTTTTTTGTGGCGTTATGTTGGTACTCATGTCTGTCACTTATGCCGACAAGCTCGGCCATTTTGAATGTTCACTTAATTGTTGACAGCTGCTTTGCTTGCACGTGTTTTGGTGGATTTTTACCTATTCAAAAAAATCGATCAAAGAACCTGTATCAAATTTTGTGTGAAAAACGAAATTAAGTGCGCGGATGCATTCCGAATGTTGACAATGGCATACGGAGAAGCTACCTTGGACCGAAGAAACGTTTATCGGTGGTACAAAATGTTCTCAGAAGGACGAGAAGATTTGAACGACGAAGAGCGTGCCGGACGCCCGAGCACTTCAACAACAGACGAAAAAATTAATCAAGTGGAGAAAATGGTATTGGCCAATCGTCAAATCACCGTTAGAGAAGTTGCTAAGGACCTAAACATATCGATTGGCTCGTGTCATTTGATTTTTATCAATAATGTGGGCATGAGACCTGAGAGACAATTGCGACCAAAAACAGCATCGCATGAACATTGTTAAAGAGATGTAGGACTCTGTCCGCGACGACCCAAATTTACTCCAGAGGGTCATAACTGGTGACGAATCGTGGGCTTATGGTTATGACGTGGAAACAAAAGCTCAATCATCTCAATGGAAGCTGCCGCATGAACCAAGACCGAAAAAAGCGCACCAAGTTCGGTCGAATGTGAAAGTTCTGCTGACAGTTTTCTTCGATTTCAGGGGCGTGGGGCATCATGAGTTCTTGCCACAGGGTAGAACGGTCAATAAGGAATATTACCTGAAAGTTATGCGCGAATTGCGCTAAGCAATCCGCCAGAAACGCCCGGATTTGTGGAAGAACAAAAATTGGCTTTTGTAACACGATAACGCCCCTGCTCACACATCGTTGCTTGTGCGCCACTTTTTGGCCAAAAACAACACACTAATGATGCCCCAGCCACCGTATTCCCCAGATCTGGTCCCCTGTGACTTTTTCTTGCTCCCTAAACTGAAGAGGCCCATGAAAGGATGACGTTACGCTACGATTGACGATATAAAGACATTCGATGCAGGAGCTGAACAAGATAAAAAAAATGATTTTTTGAAGTGCTTAGAAGATTGGAAAAACCGTTGGCACAAGTGTATAATGTCTCATGGGGATTACTTTGAAGGGAACAAAATAGATATTCATGAATAAATAAATAATTTTTGAAAAAAAAAAACACAAAATTCGCGATATTTTTTGAGCACACCTCGTATAAAAAAAATAAATTTTATTGAGATTGGTAATTTTTCAGATCAACATAAATGAACAATTTGTGATCTTGATACTTAGTTTTTTATATAAACTTAAAAACATTTGCGTAGTCTTCTTTTAAAGTCACCGAATATGCCATGGGTTTATATCCCTATTCATTACCGTTATGAAGCAAAACATATTTACTATAAACTTCTTTTGCTGTTATCTTTGAAGATAAGCCAGTCTTTAGGTTGGTACTTTTTAATTCAATTCGTTGTAAAATACCGCCAACATCTTTAGAAAAATCTAAATCCTTCTCTTGAGAAAAATACAGTAACAGATTTTTCTCGGATACCATAAAATGAACTTTGGTTTCCGGAGTAAGCAATTTTTTTTGAACGAGTTGCTAAAATTTCATAAGCTGTTGTCGGTACGTTCAGATCTCTTACTAAGTCATTTAGTTCTTTCTGATTAAATAGTTGAGGATCTTGGTTGAATTTGTAGTCTGAATTTGAATCGTTAATCGACGATTTTTGTTCGGGTTAACAGGGATTTGGATTTGGTTGTACTTCTTATGATTTTAATTGAGGTGGTTGAGCAGAAGGGTAACTTAGGATATGACCACTTATTTCGATTTCCAGGATCAATTTCTTTTATTTTCACGACGCAGAGTTAGCAAGGGGCATTACGGTTTCGAGGTTCTCGCCAAATCATGGGTGCTATCAAGATGCAGTAATGATCTCTTTTTCCACTGGAACGCAACTGTAGACATACCACACACTTCTGGCATACAATATGAGGAACCCATGGCTTGTCCTGATTACACAATTTTATTTTGAAATATTGATGATACGTAGTTTTAACAAAGTGCGATGTAAATTTGCGATATTTTGCAAATACATATTCGCCACAAATATGACAAAAACAATCGGTATTAAGCATACAACATCCTAGTAAAGAAGGTATAGTGAAAACAAAAATAAAATATGTACATATATTTCGGTGTCCAATAAAAAACGCAAATTTAGATAAAAAATAGTAATTTAGGTTAGTTACCTGTAACCCAGAAACAAAAGCTATTTTTTTTAAAAAAAAAAAAAATATTTTGAATTCTTTTCTCGAGAAAAAATATTACCATATTTGAAAAATACGCGACATTTTGAAATATCAATAAAAAAAAATTACAGCAAAAATTTTGCGTGATTTTTTAGCCTATTCATATCTGATTTGTATTTGACGATACACATTTTTTGCGATATAAAATATTTTTTGCTCAACAGCTCACCAACATTATACTGTGCACCTACCTAAAGCCGATCAAAGTTATTAAACAACAAAAATTATCAAAAATTTTATTAATTTTTGTGGTTTTTAAGGCACTGTTTCAGACCATATATTTTTGGAAATAGTGAAAAAATTACAACAACAGTATTGGACGGTAGAAGTTGTAGCTGCTATTTCAGAAACCAGCACGTTTCCTCATGAGACTTCTTTTTCCGGACACCTTCGTTCGATTTGAATTTTTTTTTTTTTTTGTTTTTACAAATCATTAACATATTTCAAATAATTTTCCCTCCAAAAAATTCGATTCACAAAATATTGCCCGTGAACATTATCAATCAGTATTTTCGCTCTCCTAAGACTGCTGAGAAATACATTACTGTTTTTATTGGATCTAAATAAACCATATAAACGGATTATATTCGATTTGTTCAGGGGAAGGAAAGATATGTGTATATACGAGGAATCGAATGATAGGACGAATCGATTTAGCCGTATACACGATAACTTAAATAACGACTCAGATATACTGATCAAACTTTTTTTTTCACAAATTCATTGGATAACAAGTATAAGTGAAAACGCGATAATTCAATAACAATAGGTGGGAAAAATTGCACAGGCGTGGTTTTATCCAATTTTCGTCAAAAGATCAGAAATTAATAGACAGAATTCAATATATTTTGTTGCTTTTATTGCCCTGGGTCTAGTATGAACACGAGCTGAATAACTACGCTTTTGTCCCATATAGAGGACTTTCTTTTATATATTTATTTTTTTGTGGTTCTAGTTAAAAATGGCTGGCATTGGCACCTACTTTCCATATAAGAGACTTTTTATTTGGTTGACCTGCGTACTTAGTGTTCAACTCCCGCACATCACTTTCATTGTTTGTTTATTTTTTTTTATTGACGGGTACCGAAAGTTTATTGAAATTAATTTTATGAGGGAAATTCGAATTTGAAAAGCAATATCGATTTTTGTCTCATAAAAGCTAAATAAATTAAAGCTATAAGAACACCGGAAATTTATTTTTTATTTTTACCCATAATAATTTGAATTTCAAAATCTTGTTCCTGCATATCCAAGAATTCATATTTACTTTTTAAAATATTTACATATATATATGATTATTTCATAAAATTTAACGAAACAAATTACTTCAATAAAAATTATGAAATTTAAAATAAAGTGGTCTCGGCCATGAGGAAGCCTTTATACCTTTCTTGACCACATCAAATTTTTAATTTAGGGTTAATTATCAGTTATCATATTCTATCACCTAAAAAAAACGGGGAATATAATATAGTACTCCTATTTCGATGACTTTCCGTATCAATGTTTATCTCGATATACGGATTTTTGAAAAAACGATTGTATGGGGCTATAAACCCAAATGCTCTGATTTCGACGATTTTCGGTCATAAACAAAGTTTATTTACAAATACGAATGAATAATATAAAATTTGAAATTTTGAGACACTTTGTTGACAGAGTTTTGACCAAAGCCTCATGTATGAAAAAACCGATTGTATGGGAGCTATGTATTGTATATGATATGTTTCTCCTATTTCGATGAATTTGGATGACGCTGTATATTTGTAGACCAAATATTAATTCTGACAAATGATCATTTAATCAAGATCGTATGCTCTAAGTTTGGTTGAAGTATCTCAAAAGGTAGTGGGATAGTTAGCATACAAAAACACAAACAGATGGACATGACCAGGTCAATTCAACTCGTCATTCTGATCATTTCAATATAGATTTTGATGGATCTATCTCTTCTCTTTCAAGTACTCAATATAACATTTCAAGCACAAGATTGTTATAAAAACATATATAAGTACATAATGCATACACGTTTAT